GGGGAGGTGGGGGAGGGGGGAGGGGGGGGGTGGTATGACTGACTATGTTAGAGGTTGATGATGACATTCGCAACAGTTAGACCTCAGCCTTTGAAGAGGTAACCCATGTGGACATGTGGTGTCACTCCTCATAGCTATGTGGTAGGTATAGCCCACATATCCTTAGCGCTCTGGAAGCAGAGAGGGTACATAAAACTGTCATTCTTTAAGAAAAAATAATGTCTACTTTCACACACAAACCCACTGCCAGCTGTTACCTCCCTTTCCCCTCCTTCTCACGCTCCCCTCAACACTTCCTGTCCGTGTAGGGGGAGAACTAATGGATGTCATTGATATCCTCTCAGGTATTGGGGCTCCCCCCTCCCTTCACAACATAACCTACACTCCTCCTCTTCCCCCCTCCTCTTCCTCCCTACATGACTGCATACCGACCACTTAGCTTCCAACCCCAACATGACACTCTCTCAAGTGACGTCTGGCCGGATGCCACGCGTCATAACATCCGGGAAATTCCCCTCCCAAACCCTCTGCGACGACGACGACGCGCTCCACCTGGCACCCATCAACATGATCTCCCCTCTTTCCGGACCACATACCCAAACACAGGACGCTCACACGCGTCCGAAACACACCAAAACTTCCAGGAAAATCCCAAAAAATACCTCTGCGACGACGACGACGCGCTGCGACTACGACGACGCGCTGCGACTACGACGTCGCGCCTCACCTGCTCAGATGGCACTCAAGAGTGCCACCTGGGCAGCTGGTGCGCGTCGCCGTAGTCGCACTTTACACTACTTGGAACCTGATTGTATCATCGTCTTAAGAGCCATTCGTGCAGCTACGGACGCCATCAAGACGTAACATCGTCATACCTCACAGACACCGTGTCTGGCTAACCAGTTTGTCCCTACTGTATTTTTTGTGGCCACATTCAATCAGTTAGTTAGGACGGTTAATCGCCATGACACTTACCCTATAAAACAAATCCGTAAGTTTTCATTCCTCTTATCTCCCCACATTAATTTCTATGAATACTTGAGGAAATATATATTCTCAAATAGATTTTACATGTGTATCGTCTTCCAGCTGGAGTACAAGCATGAGCAAGTCGGTAACTTCCCGCACGCTCACGAGTTCCCAGAGTAACTCCTTGTTACCAGTTTCATGGCTACGAGTTTACGGGACGCACCATACTATTGCCACTCAGCTAAGCTCTTTATGTTATTTTTGTAGATAGTTTGTAGTAGTTGTCTTTGATTTATTAATATCATATTCCTATATATTATTTATATATGTGATTTATGAATAGATGTGCATTAGTATCTCATTATTTCTTTATTTGAAATGTTAATCTTCTATTTACTAATTAACCCCCAAAGAGTGTGGAGGGATTTGATTCTACGTTTTACAGTAAACTACAGTTAATTTATTATACATTAATTTATTTCATTGACACTTTATATAAGGGATCCATAGGCACTGGTTCCCCAATTTATTTTATTTTCCTAAGAATGGTTCTTCAAATTATATATTAAATTATTATAATTATTTTAGAGTAAGAATTTCTCACAGGAGTAGTGTTTATTATATTTACAATAAAAGAAGGGAAGTGTTTATAATCTTTCAGTAAAGCATGGGTGGTAATTATGATATTTCAGTAAAGCAAGTGTAGGGTTTATGATATTTCATTAAAGCTAGGGTAAGGTTTAGGTTACTACAGTGAAACAAGGCTCGTGTTTGTGATACTACAGTGAAACAAGGCTCGTGTTTGTGATACTACAGTGAAACAAGTGTCGTGTTTGTGATACTGCAGTTAAACAAGGGTCGTGTTTGTGATACTACAGTGAAACAAGGGGCGTGTTTGTGATACTACAGTGAAACAAGGCTCGTGTTTGTGATACTACAGTGAAACAAGGGGCGTGTTTGTGATACTACAGTGAAACAAGGGGCGTGTTTGTGATACTACAGTGAAACAAGGGGCGTGTTTGTGATACTACAGTGAAACAAGGCTCGTGTTTGTGATACTACAGTGAAACAAGGGTCGTGTTTGTGATACTCCAGTGAAACAAGGGGCGTGTTTGTAATACTACAGTGAAACAAGGGTCGTGTTTGTGATACTACCATGAAACAAGTTTATAATATTACAGTGAAGAAAAGGAAGGTAATGGTTCTACAGTGAAGTAATGGAAAGAGTTTAAAGTGCTACTTTTAAGGAAGTGTAGGGATTATGTTACTACAGTGAATCACAGGAAGGGTGTATGATAATATACTTAAGCAAAGATGTGTTTTATGGTGAAACCAGAGTTGAGTTTATGGTACTACAATGAAGCATGTGTAGGGTTTATTATGATAGAGTGATAGAATTATATATATTATATATACAGTGAAGCAAGGGTAAGTTTATATACATCAGTGAATCAAAGGTAGGGTTTATAGTTCTGGAGTGAAGCAATAGAATGTTTATGGATCTACAGTGACGCTAGAGTAGGGTTTATGTTGAAACATTGAAGCATGGATAGGGTTTATGATAATAAAGTGAAGCAAGAGTAGGTTTATGCAACGACAGTGAAGAAAGGGTTAGTTTTTGGTTCTACAGTGATGCACAGGAAGTGTTTGTGAAGCTACTTAGCAGCTAGAGAAAGGTTCTTGGTGCTACAATGAGGCAAGAGTAGGGTTTATGAAGCTACAGTGGCGCAAGGATAAAGTTTATTGTGCTACAGTGAAGCAAGGGAAGGGTTTATGCTGCTATAATGAAACAAGAGTAAGGTGTGAGATAGGACAGAGAGGCAAGGGAAGGGTTTATTGTACTACAGTGAAGTAAAGCTAGATTTATAAGTTACTACAGTGAAGCAAGTGATGGTTTTATGGTGCTACAGTGAGTGAAAGGTAGATTTATGGTGTTACAGTGAAGCAAGAGTAAGATTTATGATGCTACAGTAAAGGTGGGGAAGAGTTCATGATAGAAAAGTGAAACAAGGAAGGTTTATGGTGCTACAGTGAGGCAAGGGTAAGATTTATGATGCTACAATACAGGCAGGGGAAGAGTTTATGATAGTACAATGAAGCAAGGATAGGTTTATGGCACTACAGTAAAGCAAGGGTACTTTTATGATACTTCAGTGGAGCTTGGGTAGGGTTTACTACCCAAAACTTTTACTATCACTCTGCCTAACAGGCAGAGTGATTTTCGTTAATTTTAAATATGTATATATTAAGTTTGGTTAGATCAGGTTTTGCTAGGTTAGGTAGGTTAGGTTGTGTTAGGTTAGGTTAGGAAAAAACATAGGAAAAACATAGGAAAAACATAGGAAAAATATTGGAAAACATAGGAAAACAAATGTGAAAAATATATAATTGAAAGCAAACTCCACTTATTAGGCAACTTCATTCAACCTAACTTTGTACTCTTAACTTTGTTATGCAACTGTGGGTTTAGACACAGCCGTCCTCGTACCAATGGATGTGTCCATAACGCTGCTTCTACCAGCCAACCAGGTGATCGACGGGACTTATTACATCAAAATTTTTGTCTTCCTAGGAACTAGAAAATCCAAGCACCTTTCTTTAATCGTAGAGTAACTAAACCTTCTATATCCACATACCACTGTGCACTGGTATGACCCCCTTCACTCTCAAGTAGGGTATCACACTCTACTCCTCACACTAGGAGTCAATGCTGCAACTTGTACTTCAGTTCCTTCCGTTGCTCGTCGGAACTAAGGAATTCGAAATGCTTCAGGCTACGGAGTAGCAGGCAATACAGTCTGCGCCTCACCCCTCAGTGTGTGAACTGGCAGCTGAGTCTCCTCGGTGGCAGGACTGCATTACATATTTCTCTGCTCACCTTTTCTCCTCGGTGACTTGTGATGACCTGGAGTACACAATGACTTCGTACTCTTCCATAGAGGACGATGGAGCTGCGAGGCAACTACCATTGGTCCCTCAACTGGTCCCTCAGCCCAGCCTTGCAAGTTGACAAGAGAACCTCAAATGCATCAACCGTCTCAGAGTTGCAAATTCTTGCAACTTGCCACACATGTTATTGACAACTATCCCAGGAGGTTCCAGTCGGTCACTTCTGTGGTACGATGTAGTGGTCCCGTTCCCAGACGCCGCGTAATCACGAAATATCATAACTGCTCAAAAGTTGATCGTTTTGAGTCCTACCCGTCAGAGAGTTCAAATTGAAGTGGCGACCCTGGCGCCTGGCCCACACCACTTAGCCCCTCCTGCGTGTCACGTGACCTTAGGTCTCCACCTCGTTGTTCACTCACGCTTGTAAGCACCCAATCGTCTTGTTTTCTCACGTCCGGGGTCCTCGGCATCGTCGTCCCGCCCGAATCTTGGCGCGAATCTCAAGAAGAGCGACGGCCGGAGCCCGCCATGGCAGATGCCGCACCAGTCTTCCTATCCCACTGCAGTGACTTGAAAACGAAATAACTCAGAATTCTGGCTTCCTACATTCTTATACGCATAGTGAACATGAAGACTTGTGTGTGTGTGTGAGCATCTCGGAGCATGACTCATCACGAGGGTGAGGAGTGTATATGACGGCACTTATATCATCCCAGCGTTGGTCACATCACTGAAGGTAATGGTGCAGTATGGTGTAGTCAGTGGAGGTAATGGTGCAGTATGGTGTGGTCAGTGAAGGTAATAGTGCAATATGGTGTGGTCAGTGACGGTAATTGTGAAATATGGTATGATTAATGATGATAATGACACAACGTGGTTTTCAGTGATGACATGACCCAACATGGTCTTGATAGTATTGACATGACGCGATATGGTCTTATAAATGATTATATGACGCAATATGGTCTTGTTAGCAATTGATATGATACACTATTGCAATATTGCCTTTGCTGACCATATTGATGTCGCAATATGGTCTTGTTAGCGAAGATATGGCGCAATATGTTCGTGTCAGTGATGATGATATCACAACATGGTCTTGTCAGTGACAATAATGACAAATGTGTTACTGCAGGTCTTACCGTGTTTAGTGATGGTAGGGGAGGTCTTCTCTATTATGTACACTGCCTCTGAGGACTCGGTGTCCCTGGAAAGTGAAGAAGGGTTACAGCAGTAAGTCACAATAACACGCGTGAAAGTTAGACACCCATTCACATCTTAAAATATAGTAATTGACGAATTTTCTGTCCGTCCTGGACAAAATCAGGATGGATTATGTCCGTCCTGGACAAAATCAGGATGGATTATGTCCGTCCTGGAAAAAGTCAGGATTTACAATGTCCGCCCTGGAGAAAATCAAGATGGACAATGTCCATCCTGGACAAAATCAAGCCGTGCGATACGTCGCAATGTTTCATTATGGAGCGAAGCGTCGGAACTTCCATTGTCTTCCCCATGCAAGGGTTGGGTATCTAATGAAGAAGAGTTTGCTGCTTAATTATAATGTATTCACGAACCCAGGTCGTAATCACTCTGGATTCTCACGTCATGGGTCAAGAATGTCTCCCTTCCACCAATAACCTTACACACTTCCTTTTCCTTCCTCCCTGGCTTGTAGTTTCTCTCCCTCTCCTGTCACCCTACCCCATCCCCCTTCTACCCTATTCACCCCCTCACTGTCTGGCCCGTTACCGCCGTGAGGGGGCTTGGTGGGCAGGTGCCGGAGTGTGATGCTCCGTGGGTCAGCCCTCTGTCCTTTTGCAGCAGCTCCTGCTGCTGCCTTTACCAATTTTGCCAGACTTCTTTTCCTTTTCTTCATGTTTCATTGTTCTCTCCCCTCTTCTCCTATCAAATTGTCATTTTCTGCCGACCTTTTGCCCGTTTTGATTATTCTTTCGACGTTCTCTTGTTTTGACGCCCGGGTGCTTGAGGAGGCATACTCTTGCACCCGTAGAACTGTAGTACCCAACGTCTCGAGCGAGGGGAACCTTTTATTGTCAATCCCCCTTTTGTCACTGAACCCGCTCTCGACGGACTCACGGTTCTTAAGGTGGCGTTTGTGGGGCGTATACTCACGACGCACCCCTAGGGGGCCCCGGCATGATCGGCGATAGCTTCTTGTTGCGTGTCCTGCCTCTAATTGTGGCTCCATGGTGGGTGTGGGGGCACATTCGTGAATTAAAGTTTTTCCTCGTTTTCATGGCAGATAATGTTTCCCTTGTACCTTCTCAGGCTCGTGGGGTGGGCGACCAAGCCCCCGAGTCAGACTGTGTTGGAAGACCAGGCCCTGTAGCCCCCGCTGCATTGGGCCCCGGCGACCTGACTACTCCCCTCAGCTCCCCTCCCTCCTCTGCGGTAGGGTCGAGCCCCCAGCCCCTAGTGGTGACCACCTCGTCCCCTGGCACGGCTTCGTCTCTCATTGTGACTACTGCGCCTTTTACCCCCTCTCTCTCTGGGGGTTCTCAACGCCGTCCCCGCCACGAAAGCACCCGCACGATCCCTTCCCGTAATACTACTTACAACGCCTTGTTTGGTCCCGCTACGTGGGCTAAATACTTTGATCTTCACCATCTAGATTCTACTCCTGACGAATTCTCCCTCCATAAACACCTTGTTGATTCAGTAGATGCCTCTGTTACTTTTAACTCCACCAGTTACGGTACGCGTGTCGTCACTGCTCCTTCTCAGGATGCAGCTACTAGCTTATAGCCGCTTTGTCCTGCATTGGAGAGACCCCTGTTCAGGTCTCAAAAATGCTCGGTTAAATGCCAGTGTTGGCACTGTTCTCCTCCCACACCATGTTGCAACTGGTGTTCGGGACCTCAAAGATTGCCATGAGGATATTAAACATATCCTCGAAGCCCAAGGCCATTCTGTCCTCCAGGTGGACACGTTTACTCGACCCCCTCGTGGTCGTCGCCGTCAGCCCCTTCGAGTTGTAAAAATCACCTTTGATAGTAGGACCCTTCCGCCCTCTATTATTCTTGCTGGTGCCAGATTCTCCGTTCAGGAGTACATTCCCTCTCCTAGACTATGCAATAAGTGTTGGAAGTTCGGGCACGGTGTCCTCAAATGCACCAGTATTGTGTATCTGTGCCCCTTGTGTGGGGACGATAGTCATTCTAAGTCCGAGTACACTTCTCCCCAGGCTCGCTGCCTCAATTGCAGTGAGGCCCACCCTACCTTCTCACGCTCGTGTATGCACTACAAACTCGGGGAAGCTGTCCTCAATTTGAAGCACCGTGATCGTCTGTCTTTTCCTGAAGCGAGACGCCAAGTTCGTCGTCTCACCCCTTTCGCGGGCGTCTCCTACGCTCGCGCGTTGCGTTCTACCTCTCCTCGTCCTTCCCGTCTTCCTTAGTCTCACAACCATTTCCAGGCCTTAAACCCATCCACACCCACCACCTCCTCCCCTATTCCTTTGCCTCCTGTCCCGGATAATCTCCCTCCCGGTTCTCCATCTGGGGTTTCCCCCTTCCTACCCAGTCCACCATATCTCCTTTGTCTTCTTCCCCATCTCCCCCACTCTTTCTTCCCGACCCTCCCCCAAGTCTCTTGACCCTCCACGCCACCTGTCGGTCCAGGCTGATATCCATCATCCTCTCAGCGACCTTCGTGTTGTTCGCTCCCGTTCCTCTTCTCCTGCTGAGACCATTGAGTCTGTCGCCCGGTACGTTGTTACTGGAACGCCTGTCTCTTCAAGTCAGAAACGTAAGCCTGGCTCCTCTCCTTCCTCTCCAGCGGGTAAGAAGATTTCGCTTTCTTCCTCACCCCCTCCCTCTGACTCTGTCACTACATCCCCTCCCATATCAGTGCTCGAACTCCCTGTCCCAGATATGGAGGTTTCTTTCGCCCCCGATTCCCTCTCGGTTGCTGCCCTTGCTGAGATGAACTCCCTGACTTCTGCCCCCCCTCCTCCAGCTGTCCTTGCCTGCCCCTCTCAGTTGATTCCTCCTCCTCCGGACCCCGTCAGTCTGCCTCTGGTCTGTCCTCTTGCTCCCTTCCCTCTATCCCTACTAAGTTTACCCATGCCCCCTAACCCTGATTTTGCCGACCCTGCTCCTGATCCTGCAACCCGTTCTCGCAAATTTAATAAGTCAATATTGACTTATTAGTTGCGTACATAGGTGACATACTAAACATAATAGTTTCCCTTGAAAAGCTTCATAGAAAACACCGACCTTACCTAACCTACTTAGTATGTTAAAATAAGTATCTTATAGCTTTGTAATTACAATTGTTACTTAACCTATTATAGGTATAGGTTAGGTAACAATTGTAATTACGAAGCAATAAGATGCTTATCTTAACATACTAAGTAGGTTAGGTAAGGTCGGTGTTTTCTATGAAGCTTTTCAAGGGAAACTATTATGTTAAGTATGTCACCTATGCACATATTTAATAAGTCAATATTGCCTTATTAAATTTGTGAGAACGGGTTGGATCCTAACCCCTGATCCTGAGATTCTTTAATAAACTGTGTTCTTCTATACCTTTATTTCTTTCTTGTTCTCTGTTACTGTCCTTTCTCTTTGATAATGTCTATTCTTCAGTGGAATATTCGTGGATTTTATACCAACTTCCATGAACTCCAACTTCTAATTACACAGTTTTCACCACTTTGTGTTTTGTCTCCAGGAACCCATGCTTGGTGCTCGTCCTGGTCACTTTCCTGGTTATTCCTTTCTCCCTCCCCCCCCCAGCTCTTGCTGGGGCCCATAACTCTACTGCTCTCTTAATTCGATCTGATATTCCCTTCGTCCCTCAATTTCTTCCGTCACTGCTGACTAACAACTGCCCTCGTGTGTACACTGCTGACTAACAACTGCCCTCGTGTGTACGATGCTGACTAACAACTGCCCTCGTGTGTACGATGCTGACTAACAACTGCCCTCGTGTGTACGATGCTGACTAACAACTGCCCTCGTGTGTACGATGCTGACTAACAACTGCCCTCGTGTGTACTTTAGTGGTAGAAGACCGCTCCTGTATGTACATTAGTGTCAGAAGTTTACCCCTGAATATACATTAATGACAGGAGACTGGCCATGTATGTACATTAATGACAGAATACTGCCCCTGAATACATATTAGTGGCAGAACCCTGCCTCTGTATGTAAATTAGTGGCAGAAAACTCCCCACGTAAATACATGAGTGTCAGAAGACTGCCCCTGAATGTCGCTCCTTCGTCGACCTTTGTCTTTTAACTGTTTCCTGAAATCTAAAACCGGTTTCTACCATTAACGTCTCAGTAAGAAGTTGTGTTCTCCTCCATTCACTTCACAGTATAACGTTGTCTTATCTTTGTGTCATCTTAAGCTCAAAAGTTGTCTCTCCGTTCCATCTGTCAGTCAGAAACTAGCTACTGTTCCACTAGTCAAAGTTAAACATGTAGTTGCACAACAACTCACTTGCTCCTCGAGACAATCCTGTTCCTGGTGCTGCCGTAGACTCTCCCAGGGACCTCCAGCTTCTTCTTGAAAATGATGTCTCCTCCATTGATGTTAATTGCCCCTGAGTGAAGTGCTGACATACAAACGAGTGATTCCTAAAGAAACAACAACAGTAATGATAAATTTTGAGGCTGGCGTCGGTTCCCATAATACAGCTCAATAAATATATATATATATATATATATATATATATATATATATATATATATATATATATATATATATATATATATATATATATATATATATATATATATATATATATATATATATATATATATATGTGACTGAAAACTCACACCCCAGAAGTGACTCGAACCCCCATACTGCCAGGAGCAACGCAACTGATATACAGGACGCCTTAATCCGCTTGACCATCACGACCGGACATAAGGATGTGATAGCCGAAGCTATATGAATCACTTCCCCGCCGGCACTCGGATGGTAATCTTGGGCATAGCATTTTAACAAATCACCTCATTCTTTGGGGCACACGTGAGGAACACAAATGCGAACATTTGTTCGCATTTGGGGGATCACAAACCCGAGCTGGTTAGGTTTCTAACTACCTGTCCCGACCTACCTCTCCCGTGTCCATGAACTACCTGTCCCGTCTACCCCAGGTTCATACAATAAACTGCCTCTCCCGTCTACCCAGTGAAGTCAAAAAACGCTGTATAAATATCAGAGGTGACCGGTTTTTCAACATCCTCCCAGCGAGCATAAGAAATATTGCGGGAACAACCGTGGACATCTTCAAGAGAAAACAAGATTGTTTTCTCTAAGAAGTGTCGGACCAACCAGTCTGTGGTGGGTATGTGGGCCTGTGGGCCGCTCTAAGCAACAGCCTGGTAGACCAAACTCTCAAAACTCAATCCTGGTCTCGGGCCAGGATTGGGGAGCATTAAATTTCCCAGAACTCCATCAAATTTGTAACCACCCCCCCCCCCCCCCCCCCGGTACAAACAATGAACTACCCGTCCAGTCTTCGACAGTTTCTTGCCATGAACTACCTGCCCTGTCTACCACAGGTAGGAACCAAGAACTAACTGTCCTGTCTACCCCAGCTTCATTCATTAAACTACCTGTACTGTGACCCCAGGTATAAACTATGAATTACTTTTCCCTGGCATTGCCATGAAGAAAAGATAAACTTCCATTCCTGTCTAGCCCAGATGCAATCCATGAACAACCTGTCCCGTCTGGCCCAGGTACAATCAATGAAATACCTGTCCCGTTCATCTCATGTACAAATTATGACCTACCTGTCAGGTCTACCACACGTACAATCCATGAATTATCTCTCCCGTCAACCCAAGGTACAAACCATGAGCTTCCTATCCCGTCTATCCCCGGTACAAACCATGAACAACCTGTGCCGTACACCTCTAGTACAAACCAGGAATTTCCTTGCCCGTCTACCACAAGTACAAACAATGAACTTCCTCACCCGTCTACCCCAGGTACAAACCATGACCTACCTGTGGCGTCTACCCCCGGTACAAACTATGAACTACCTGTGCTGTCTGCCCCAGGTACAAACCATAAACTACCCTTTGCCTCAGTGTACTCAACAAGCGGCGCCACTCACCTCATGGTAAACTTCTGTACCAAACACCGAAAAACCGCTCAAGTTTCGGTGTAGTTGTCCCCGATCACAACTGAAATGAATAGTAGAGTGGCAGGTTAAGAGTTACTAATGCCTGTCATCGTACGTTTGTGACCTTACAAAACAAGAAATGTAATCGTATAACACTCAGTATGCTCGGTATATGATTATTGTTTGTGATGAATATATATATATATATATATATATATATATATATATATATATATATATATATATATATATATATATATATATGTATATATATATATTATTAGTATATTTTGGTAGCAGTCTTTCCTGTAGACATATATTATTAAATATGACCGAAAAAGTAAGATTAATAATTCTAACACGAATTTTCTCAATATTTCTTATGTTTCTTTTCACTGTCGATGGTAATTGAAAATGAATTCTCCAAAATTCATTTTAATTTCTACTCTGACGCGACACTTGAACGCGTTTCGTAATAACTTATTACATTTTCAAAGACTTTAGTTTTCACACACACAACTATAACCTGCAAACACTAAAGAGAGCTTAAATAGCTTTCATTTTATATATGACCGAACCTAACCAACCCTACCTAACCTAGCCTAACCATTCTTAACCTAACCTAAACTAACATAACTAAGTCAATAATTTATGTTCTTAACATAATATAATAATAATATTTCAAATAAATCAATTGAAAACAATATTTTGAAAATTAAAGAAAATCACTCTGCCTATTAGGCAAATCGGGCCTTGCATAGTAGGCTGAGAAGTGCATTCTGGCTACTAGGTACGACATATATATATATGTCGTACCTAGTAGCCAGAACGCACTTCTTAGCCTACTATGCAAGGCCCGATTTGCCTAATAAGCCAAGTTTTCCTGAATTAATATATTTTCTCTAATTTTTTTCTTATGAAATGATAAAGCTACACATTTCATTATGTATGAGGTCAATTTTTTTTATTGGATATAAAATTAAAGTAGATATATGACCGAACCTAACCAACCCTACCTAACCTAACCTATCTTTATAGGTTAGGTTAGGTTAGGTAGCCAAAAAGTTAGGTTAGGTTTGGTTAGGTAGGTTAGGTCGTCGAAAAACAATTAATTCATGAAAACTTGGCTTATTAGGCAAATCAGGCCTTGCATAGTAAGCTGAGAAGTGAGTTCTGGCTACTAGGTACGACATATATATATATATGTCGTACCTAGTAGCCAGAACTCACGTCTCAGCCTACTATTCAAGGCCCGATTTGCCTAATAAGCCAAGTTTTCCTGAATTAATATATTTACTATAATTTTTTTCTCATGAAATGATAAAGCAACCCTTTTCTCTATGTATGAGGTCAATTTTTTTTTATTGGAGTTAAAATTAACGTAGATATATGACCGAACCTAACCAACCCTACCTAACCTAACCTAACCTATATTTATAGGTAAGGTTAGGTTAGGTAGCCAAAAAAAGCTAGGTTAGGTTAGGTTAGGTAGGTTAGGTAGACGAAAAAACATTAATTCATGAAAACTTTGCTTATTAGGCAAATCGGGCCTTGAATAGTAGGCTGAGAAGTGCGTTCCGGCTATTAGGTACGACATATATATATATATATATATATATATATATATATATATATATATATATATATATATATATATATGTCGTACCTAATAGCCAGAACCCACTTCTCAGCCTACTATTCAAGGCCCGATTTGCCTAATAAGCCAAGTTTTCATGAATTAATGTTTTTTCGTCTACCTAACCTACCTAACCTAACCTAACCTAGCTTTTTTTGGCTACCTAACCTAACCTTACCTATAAATATAGGTTAGGTTAGGTTAGGTAGGGTTGGTTAGGTTCGGTCATATATCTACGTTAATTTTAACTCCAATAAAAAAAAATTGACCTCATACATAGAGAAAAGGGTTGCTTTATCATTTCATAAGAAAAAAATTATAGTAAATATATTAATTCAGGAAAACTTGGCTTATTAGGCAAATCGGGCCTTGAATAGTAGGCTGAGAAGTGAGTTCTGGCTACTAGGTACGACATATATATATATATATATATATATATATATATATATATATATATAAATATGTCGTACCTAGTAGCCAGAACGCACTTGTCAGCCTACTATGCAGGGCCCGATTTGCCTAATAAGCCAAGTTTTCATGAATTAATTGTTTTTCGACTACCTAACCTAACTTTTTCGACTACCTAACCCATAAAGATAGGTTAGGTTAGGTTAGGTAGGGTAGGTTAGGTTAGGTAGGGTAGGTTAGGTTAGGTTCGGTCATATATCTACGTTAATTTTAACTCCAATAAAAAAAAATTGTCCTCATACTTAATGAAATGGGTAGCTTTATCATTTCATAAGAAAAAAATTAGAGAAAATATATTAATTCAGGAAAACTTGGCTTATTAGGCAAATCGGGCCTTGCATATGTTACGGTGCCCTCTCCTATTTCTTTCGTTTGCCGGCTTAAAGAGTCATATCAGCTCTCCCTACTGATTCTCTGAGGTTCAGGGAGTCTAATGATATATGTGGCGACCAGACCGGCTGCCATTTTATGGAAGGAGGTTATATTATAAGTTGTAAATAAAGGAAAATTGGCACCCTGTTATAAAATGAAACAGTATCCCCTACGGCAGATATGACCTTTTGGAAGGGAGACAAGCCGATCGCGGATTGGCCGACGTAGGTCGCGGGCGACAAATCAGGGCCCGCCATGACGTCACCGAGTGCCCCGGGCGGCGCCAACGTCAGAGTTGTACTGACCGTGGAAGCGACAGGACGCGCCTCGGTCTGCTCTCAGGGATTGGAGGCTCTGCAAGCCTTGTTCAGTGGATAGAGCTGGCTGTCGCAGCCACCATAGTTATTGGAGACCCTGCGCTTCTGGGAAGCCAAAGAGGAACCAAGTTCAGTGAGCAGAGAAGTGCCCAAACTTGGAAAATAGTCGGCGACGACGCTGGGCGGCGCCGCTGGCTGGACGTTGAGGTCTGGAAGGTGGGCGAGCAAGCCTAGCTGTGACTGGGGTCACATCCACTGAGAATCTTGGAAGGACGACACCGTGCCTAGGACAAGGAGCGACGCCCTGCGGGAGAGGCGAGTGTGGGGAAAGATAGTGATTAGCTCAGCGCCCATCGATGAACCAGGATTGGGGCAGCTGAATCTCAGGGATTGGAACGGCGACGACGCGAAGACTTCACGACACCTGAGGACCTGTGGAACGCCCTGGATCGTCGAGGATCGACCCAAGGAAGCGTGGGAACCTCACACCATCGAGGGACAGGCGTCGTGAGCCAGGAGTGTAAGGTAGATCATTTTTCCCTCCCATTACCCCTTGTATGAGTAGGCTAGTTAGGCCACAATATTTACTTGTGTATGTGGCAGCAAGACTTTATTACTTTAATAGTAGAATAGGCTGCAAAGCAGCTTGTGTCCAGGACTGTCAGAGAGGACAGTGTGTATGGATGGCAGGACAGTGAAGAAGAGGTGCCGACGTGGTGAAGAGGCCCTCCTGTGAGAGTGTGAGACTCCTGTCTTCCTGCCCATTTGAAGGAGTGTTGGAGGTCGTGGAAGAAGAGGCTGACGATCTCCAGACTCATTATCCATATTCCATATTCATGTATTACTTGTGATTGTGTGTGTGTGTTCATGTAATTTGCGTCAGTAAATCCACACATTTTATTACTGTGTTTGAGTGTGCCTCCATTTGTGATATTTCTCTATGAGCATACATTTCTGGCTACAAACGATATATGATACACCCACTGAACTGCATTGCTGGGGTGCAGATATAATAACCCAGCTGGCGACCTTGCTAAGAGGAAGATAGAGAAGACAGGCGGGAAAGGAGTTCCTGCAACCTTTTTTTGTCTGGCAGGCAAGACTCAGGGAGGTTACGGTTATAGGTAAGCCTGAGTCTTCCTTCACTCCCCCACGCGTCTAGGCCGGAACTGTTAACAGCAGTTTCCCCGTGGTTGACTGAAGGGCTTCCAGGGTGAATCAGTGGCACCCCTTTGTGGTGGAAGCAAAGACCTGCGGAGGTGGGCATTGTTGGTCCTATCTTGTGTGACCAAGGAGACTCCGGTGAATCCAGGGAGTCGGAGGGGCTGAGTATTTGGGCCTTTGAGCCCCTAGCAGCCGAGTGTTAGCAGAGCCCCGGACCGCCCACCCCCACGTGATACATAGTTGGCTGTGAAGTGCGTTCTGGCTACTAGGTACAACCTATATATATATATATATATATATATATATATATATATATATATATATATGTCGTACCTAGTAGCCAGAACTCACTTCTGAGCCTACTATGCAAGGCCCAATTTGCCTAATAAGCCAAGTTTTCATGAATTAATTGCTTTTCGACTACCTAACCTAACCTAACCTAACTTTTTCGGCTACCTAACCTAACCTAACCTATAAAGATAGGTTAGGTTAGGTAGGGTTGGTTAGGTTCGGTCATATATCTACGTTAATTTTAACTCCAATACAAAAAAATTGACCTCTTACATAATGAAATGGGTTGCTTTATCATTTCATAAGAAAAATTTAGAGAAAATATATTAATTCATGAAAACTTGGCTTATTAGGCAAATCGGGCCTTGCATTGTAGGCTGAAAAGTGAGTTCTGGCTACTAGGTACGACATATATATATATATATATATATATATATATAGTATAAAATATTAGTATATTTTGGTAGCAGTCTTTCCTGTAGACATATATTATTAAATATGACCGAAAAAGTAAGATTAATAATTCTAACACGAATTTTCTCAATCTTTCGTACATTTCGTTTCACTGTTGGAGGTAAATCAAAAATCAATTCTCCAAAATTCATTTTTATTTCTAGTCTGACGCGACACGAGCGCGTTTCGTAAAATTTATTACATTTTCAAAGACTTTAGTTCACAAATACACAACTGAATAGAACTTACGCATCTCCGATTTTATATCTACATTTGAGTGAGGTGGAAGGGGTGATGTGGCATTAACACAAGACAGAACAAGGTATGGTATTAATAGGGTATTAATTTCATCAACACAAG